CCTGTCTCTCCTGAACAGGATTTGATAGTTTTTGTTTTTAAAGTGTTACTCTGTTGCACTGTTGTCAGATTTATTGGCATGATGCAGTCGTACTTCTTACACTTTCAGTGCTGGATCTGTAATCATGTCCCTTCTTCTCTCTTCTCACATTGATGGCTTTTTAAAATTTATTTAGCTATGGCTGTGTAATTTTTGTTCCTTTTAGAGAATGCTTTTGGTTTCATTGACTCTTTTTGTTATAAATCTCTTTCCTTGTCCTTATTTTCTGTATCAGTTCTCTCCTCCCACTCCTCTGTGTGTGGTTTGCAGAATCCTTTGGCAGATTTTGCGACTCCTCTTTCTGATGTCAGAGCTTCAAGCAGCAGCTCACTTAAGCACTGTTTTGCTGCATCTCCTATGCTTGCTGCCTCTTTCTCCTCCTTGTCTCACTTTTGGCTTTCTGTGGCTAAGGAGTGGTACTAGAACTTGTGGTGTGGGACTCTGGTTTGGGCCTGTCACCGACATGAACATCCTAGAGCGTGGATGATCTTCCAAGGGCTTTCCTCTTTGGATGCCTGCTTGGTATGTGAACACTCCTTTGTCACCCCTTCCATAGCTTCACCTTGACTTGCTGGATGGCCACATTCTGTTGCTACCAAGGCTGTGGCAGAGTGGTCTGATGCCTGGAGCCTGCTAGATTGGGTAAAGGGCTTTAGTTGCTTTCATTCGGCATAGTGGCCCCAGTCTCTAAAGGGACAGAGAAGAGATGCTGCTAGAAGAACCTGCATATCCCAGGACAGAAACAAGCTGCCTTTACTGTGGCACAAATGGCTCCAGGAAGATGTTTCAGGCATGCTAGGCCCATTTTCTGCCACCTTTAGTATAGAGCCTGGGGAGGAGTGGAGAGGTCACTGCTATGCAGAGGTCACTGCTATGCAGAGGCTAGTGTAGGTAGTGACTAGTTATCTTCCAGAGACCTAGCTGGGCTTGTGCTGGGGACTTTGTCACTACCTTGAAGTTGAAGCACCAGCAATCATTCTAGCCAGCTGCCTCTCTCTGTCTAAGGGCTGCTGGGTCACAAAAGAGAATGAGGCAGGGGTGTCTGGCTTGGTTAGAAACAGCAGAGGGACTGCTGTTTGTCTCTGTAACAGAAGGGTCCATGGAAAGGGCAGTTTTAGGAGGTGGAATCATGATGTAGGGAGTGTCTGTTCCTGGAAGGTAGGGGAGTAGCAGTGAATGAGGCTGTAGAGTATGCAAGGAGGCCAGGTAGGATCCCAGGTGTTAAGTAGGGGCAGTGGGTTGAGGGAGCTGTGCAGCTTGTGCAGTCATTGGATGTTAGCTAAGGCACTGTGCTGTGGGCAAGATTGAACATGGAGAGTTAAGGTGGGCTGTGGTCACCAGAACTGGGATTTGCTGCAGGGACTGGAAGGGCAGGGTTATAGAGGCTGAGATGGGCTCAAGAAAAGGGCGTGTGGTTACTGGGTGAAGCTGCCAAGGGGGTCTAAGGTAGGCTGGTCTGAAGTTAAGGTCATATCTAGGATGGACCCAGGGGAGGCAGCATTCAGATGAGACTCAGGCTGCAAGGCTGGGAAGGTCACTAATAATCTTTTCATGGGAGTGGTAGTAAGGAGGTGGCCAAGGGCAGAGCACTGGGCTCTGGAACACTGGGAGTTCAGAATAGGGAAGAAGGTGAGACCCTACTGGTCCAGTAAGCATCCATGTGATTGAATTATTGGGGCAGGATGGTCCCTACTCAACCATTAGCCTTTGCATGGGGGGTGCACAGTCAACTGACACTTAAACCTTGCTCCGCCTCCTGTTATGTGTGGCTTCTTGGCATGTGCTAGCTGCCAACTCCCCTTTCTCTATGTGCTGCATGCTCTGCCATTCAAGGGCCATTTTAGGATTGTGGTCTTGGTAGAAGGGCGGTGGGGTGCTGCCTGGAGGACATCTATCTCATTCTGTGGCACCAAGGCATGATGGGGGCCCTTGTGCCCCAAGCCTGCATGGTGTCTACCTTAACCACTGTGGGGTTGAGGGAGCTGTGCAGATTTTATACAGCTTGAACAGGGTGAAGAATAGGGTGGGGGCATTTGGGCTACATCTCAAAGTATCAGGAAGGTTCTCTTGTTCTTGCTGGGCTAAGATCTTCCCCTTGCTTGGCTATGTGGGTCCAGAGCAGGGCTATGGCCAAGTTTGTCCTACTGTCCTGAAGTGGGGAGGAGTGGATGGCTGGAGCTTTTTTATTTTACTTTGGGATCACACTCCTGGTTGTAACTGATGTGGTGCTGGGGGAACCTGGGCCTCATCTCCAGTGTTCCTGGCCTCAGGGTGAATGCATCTTCACCTAGGGGCCTTCAGAGGCCGACTCAATGCAGCATGAGGCCATCTCCATTGGATGACTGCACCTGAACCTCCTCAGTGGTGCAGAGAAGGTTCAGCTGTCCACAGTGGGTCTCATGGCTCCAATCTGTATGTGTATGGCGTATTTGGGGTAGACCTGGTGATGGTAGTTTAGTGGCTCTCTTTTGCCATCCTTACCATCAAACATCTGTGCACCACCCAGAACTCACCTTGTTTTTCCCTTATCTGCTCACCTGTGCCCTCTCTGCCTCTTCTTCTTCCTGTGGTCTCTGCCTGTCCTCATCCCCATCTCCTTCCTACCATCTTTCTTGGTTAGCATCATTGGTGTTCTCTCTCCTTGTGGTTCTTCATTATTCTATTCATATTTGTCTCCTGATCTTACTCTTTTCCTCTCTCCCATTTCTGCATCTCCATGTCTCTCTATGTTTTGTCTACTCTCTCTGCCTCTCCTTGCTCCTCTGTGCCCTTGCCATGTCCTCCCTGGGCTTCTTGCACCTTCTATCTCTCTTCCTTCCTCTCTTCTTCTGGCTCCTTCTTTGCCCCAGGCACATTATGCATCGGAAGTCCAACAAAACTACCTCAGCCAGCACTAGTGTCACGACGCAGATGGACCTGGGGCCTAGGAGGCAAGAGAGAAGGAGGTCCTGGTGTCTGCAATAGTCAGAAGTATGGCAGGGGCAGACTTCTTGGAGACTGATATGCAAAGAAGGACTCTCATGCTGATCTGGGATGACCTGATGTAGCTCTGGGGTCCAGGAGCCAGAACTTTCAGTCATTGTAGCTGTTTCTTGAGCCTGGATATGTGCCAAGTGAAACCACTATAAGTCCCTGGTTTTTTGGGGTTCATGTTTATAGTAGGCGTGAGAGTAACCTGAGTCTTCCTAGCCTGGCCTTTCTGAATGGAGATGATGATCACCATCATCAGTTTCAGGGTTCTCTGACTCTTCTGTTCTCCATGCCTTTCTATCTCCTGCTGCCTCCCCATCCTGTTCCCTTTCTACTTGCACTTGTCGTCCATCAGGCTTCCACATGAAGCCCCACCTTGCTCCCCATCACAGAGTCACTGCCCTTCTTCTCACAGCCCTGTGTTCATCACCATTCCCACTATCCCATGACTGTCCTGGCCACAACTGCCACTACTGAAGCTCCTGCCACATTTCACCCATGCCAGGTCAATATTCTACCTTTTTGTTATCCATACTCTACCCAGGACCCCAAAGATTGGAAAGTGTTTGTTACAAAAATTAACTATTGTTAACCTAAAGTTTGAAGAGCAGAAGTAGGCAGACTTTCACTGCCGCCTGCCGCCTGTTCCATGTAGACTTTTTATACCCAATGTCTTTGATTGCAGGTGCACTATAACTGCTTTTCTGACAGGTACAGCCTAGATAGTTGCAGTGCACTGTCCAGCTTGCAAATACTATATACTGAATGTCTGGCCCTAGAAAAAGGTCTGCCAACCTCTGTTGGAGGAGATGCATATGGTGTGGCACAGCTTTGCAGGGGGCCATTACTCAGCAGCAGAATGAAATGGGGTTTGGAGACCTGCCGTGGTGTGAGCACACTTCAAAGGCAGCATGCTGAGGGAAGGAAGCCAGACATGCCTGTGTGTGTAGTACGAGTTCTGTTTGTGTCACATGTCCAGAAAATGCAGATCTTTAGAGGCAGAAGGTGGATTAGTGGCAGCTAGGAGCTGGGCGTAGGAGGGGATGAACTATACTCAGGCACAAAGGCACTTTGATGTGATGAGAATGTTCTAAAAGTGGGTTGTGGTGAGAGTTGTACAATTGCATACTTAAATCAGGTGGGTTGTTTGCTCTCTAAATTATGCTTTAGTGAAAATACTACTAAAAAGTTAGTCCCCAAAATGGAGTTACACCAAAATATATATAGAGTCAGCAGCCAGTTGTCCAGCAGTGGAGCAGACAGACTTAGACTACACAGGCATATAGCGCTTTGCTCTGGCTAGCTGAAGGCTCTTCTGCATGTGATTTAGTAATCACAGCCACAGCTGTTCAAGGGGAATGATGAGTGCCTCTCTGATTGTGACTCTTTGGTGGGACATTGTGACTTACAGGGTGACTCTGAACAATGTGATTGTCAGCATTTACAGTGACTTGGCTGCCTTGCATTGTTCTTTAGTCTTTGACTTACACATGCTTTCATCTGTTATTTATTTATTCATTCATCAAAAATGCTGATTAGAATCAGGCATATAGTACACACCTATAATCCCAGCACTTGGGAGAAAGGCTGAGACAGGAAGATCACTGTGAGTTCAAGGGCAGCTTGCACTACATAGTGAGTTCAAAGGTAGCCTGAACTACATAGTGTCTCAAAAAAAGTGCTGATTAGACACCTCTTATGTGAGTTGTGTTATACATCTCAAAGTATATTGGATTGAGATCTGTGGCATAGGAGCAGTCAATTTGACTGGGCTATTTTCTGGTGAGACTGACTCCTTGGAGGGTGCAGTAACTGAATATTTATTTGGTGCCCACTGTGTCCTTGATTTTGTGGGATATGCACACTGGCGTGAAAAGCAGCTCTTTGATCTGTGGAATGAGGTCAAGGCTATCATAGCCCTATCTAGTCCTTGGGAGGTCATCCTAAACCATACCTTGTGCTAAGTCTTTCACTCAACTTTTATTCTCCAGCAGCGCTGTGGATGGTCTCACACTTTTACAGTGAAGAGGTCCTTCCTAAGGCATTGGAACCAAAGAGGGACCTGACTGAATGTGAAGTTTGCTCTTGCCAGATCCAGCTCTCACCTCTTCATATGCCAACAGGCTACCGCACAGAACCTGAGCTTTTGAGCATTCAAAGGACCTACTCAACACAGTCATCCCTTGGTGCTCATAGGGGATCGGGTCCAGAATCACCTCTGAATGCAAAAGCCCATAATACACCATCATATAAAAGCATTTGCATATAACCTATGTGACACATATACAACTTAAAGAAGAAAGAGTTTATTTTGATTCTTGGTTTCAAAGGTTTCAGTCCATGGTTAGTTGGCACAGAGGCAGACATGTGGTGGAAGAAGCTCCTCAATTCATGGCATCCAGGAAGCAGGCAGCAGTGGAAGAGACAGAGAAGGCGCCAGAGACTACATACAATTCCTGAGGTCATACCCGTGTGACCCACCCACACACCAAAAAGTGTGCTTTTACTAATATTTTGGTGCCTCAGTTCCTAAGGATGTGAGGCTTGTGGCCCTCCTGGTGGCTTTTTGAAGCTCTTTTAGCAACTTTTCCTGCTTCTCTGGAGCTTTTCAAAGATCACTGCAGGTCTCTGCTGGACATTGCCAATGTTTGCCAGTCTCCTCTGGTCTCCATACATTACCACCAATCTCTACTACTCCCTGGAGCTCTTCAGGCTAATGGCCTTTAATATTATCAGCTTTTTTAGTACAATCCACACAGCCCACTGGACCTGAGTTAAGAATCTCACAAAGGCAATGGAACCACCCAAGTGAGACTTTCACGGGGGGCCTGTCCTGGAGCATGTGGGTAGGTAGTACACCTAGCCTGCCCGAAAGAGTGTAGTGGAATGCTGTTTATATAGAAGAGTAGGAGTGGGCAAATACATGCAGTTTCCTGCATTTTGAGGATCTTTTGGGGTCTTTTCAGAGACACTCACAATGCCTGCAGAGTAGTCATCCTGGACAAGCAAATATCTCCTGGAGCAACTATGGAGCATCTAGGACAGCTTCAGCTGTCATGGCAACAGCACAGAAAACTTCATGTGAAGCTTCTGGTTGGCAGATCCTGTGTCTCTGTTACGATGATGGTGCTGAAATTGTTACTATCACTGCTTTCATGGAGTCTCTCTTGGAGGATAACTATACTCATTGGGATTTTTGGAAATATCAGCATTAGGCTGTAAGTCCTGCCATGATTTTTTGCTGTTAGTGGTGGTTTCTCAGGGTTTCTCAGAAAGGAAGAAGCAGCACCTGTGTAGCCTTGAGTGGGGCAGGGGTCACAGCTGTTGACCAATCTGCACCTCCTATCAGTGCAGCCCAGAAGACAGCCACTGAAGCAAACACAGAGGTAGTTGGAAGGCGCTGGGGCTGCTTTCCCAAGCCACCCTTGTGGAGGTGAGGGGGAAAAAGGAGGAGAGACTTGACAGCCAAGTCAGATCACACCCTGTCTGGCTGACCAAGGGAAAGGAGAAGGGTTTGGCCTCATTGTTTTGTATCTCACTCTCATGGTGTTATAAGATAACTCATGAACCAGTGTTCACGGTGCTGGGAACATGCAGGATGTGAAGAGGGCTCAGTGGCAGGAGTAAGACTGGCTACATGTTTGTGGCTCCCTGAGGGAATGACATTGTGGCTCCATGGTGATTGGAGGTATAGGGTAGCACTGCCAGTGTGGGGAATAATGGATGGAGGAGAGAGGTCTTGAGTCACAGCTGGCTAAGTGTGAGGACATCACTGCCTAAGTGGTAAGTTAGATCAGCCTTTGGTGCATAGGGACAAAGAGCCTACAGTCCTTCCATGGTTCAGCAAGAATATGGGATTAAGTACCACTGAGCATGTCTCTTAGCAGCTAATTACATCCTGCCCCATCTCTGGGGAATGGTAGTGAGGACAAGTGACATCACAGCTACTACTATCACCAAATGTGGGCTACTAGAGTACAACTGACCTCTTGTCCAGTGCTTGCTGCTCCTACAAAGGAGACATGGAGTCCTTGTTCTCAGACTCCAGAGCATGAAATCAGCCCCAATTCAGTGTGCCCATGCCCTAGCCCTCCTTTCTGAGTTGGAGTTGGCCTAATGTGCCATGGAACATACATGATCCCAAACATGGGAAATCAGCACAGCCTCAAAGAGGTATACACAGGAATGTGTGCCAGGGAAGTGCTCTCTGGGAAGAAATTATGTCTGATGGCTCATTGTGATGAACTTTAGAGCAGAAGGTGTTTGGCCCTCCCAGCTCCTTTTTCATGTGTGGTACCTCTCTGGACAGCAACATAGGCTACAGAGAGCTGCTGGTCCAGTAGGGAGACTAGTAGCTTCAAGAACCATGGAAATCCTATCTCATGGCTTATGCAGCAGCCTAATCTAGTTCCTACTTTTCATGGGAGTGGTGCTAGTGGATTGGTGTGCCCAGAAACTTCCAGGCAGGGAGTGTGTAGTCTGTGTCCTGAGAGGCCTGTCCCCATGCTGATCCAAAGCACTAAGAGTAGCATGATTTCCTTGCTTCCAATTCCATGTGGCCAGATGTAGGAGGGTGGGCTTTGATGGTTAGTGGTGCTCACATCAAACCTGAGCAGGTAGGACTAGACTCAGGGCACACTTGTCTGATCCCTTACTTGGAGAGTCCTGTGGTGACACTTAGAGCCACTTAGAGCAGTAGTGGCAAACCTATCACTGTCCTAGAGGGTCATATTTTTATCCTTCTGGGTGCAGTGGTGAACATTCCAGTGGGGGGGTATTAGGGAGGACAAGCAGACTGATGGTAGGATGTAGTGTGGGTACAGATGCACTAGCTTGGCCTTGAAGCCAAGTTCACCACTTATGTTATTTGCAACAAGCCAGTTAGGACTTGGTTCCTAAGCCATGAAACAGGCTTCTGATGCTTACATTGTCAGGTTGGATTGTGCCAGAGCAGGTCCTGGCTCCTGTGAGCTATATTGTCCATGTCTGTGAGATCGTAGGGTCTGGTGTCTATAGGGTGCTGGCTGAGGGAGTGGGTAGTGATGATGCATGGAGAAGGTGGAGAATGTGGCCTTGCCTGAGGTGAAGAGGGGTGCAAAGTACCAGGACTAGTGCCCCTATTTACTGAAGGAAGGCTAGGCCTTGGCATCCTTAAGCCTTCCTTCTGTTTGCAGCAGGAGAACCTTCAGCTGGAATATTTGAAAACTCAACTTTCAGATGCCATTCAGTGATAAGGAGTTGTCCAGAAGGTAAGACACTGCGGCCAGTTAGGGACCTTGGTCCCTGGATACCCATGCTAGCTCTTATCCCTGGGGTGGCCTGGGCAGAGAAAGAGGCCCTTCCCAGGAACTTTAATAGATGACCAGAATTGGAATGTCATCTCTCATGAATTTTATCTTTAGATGTGCTGCCCAGAGGTGTCCTCACAGCAGCTCCTGGGAGACGGGAAGAGCAAGTCTATCCCCATTTTAACAAGATACTCAGGCCTAGCAAGCTTTTGTGCATTGGCAGAGTCTATCCAGCTAATTCCTGCTTGAGGCCAGCCAAAGACATGATTTCTCATAGCCTGGGGCAACCCATCCTGTTGAATAAGAACTGTGTTATGTTGAGTTACTCTCTGGTGTCTGGTATTTACTTGTCCATCTCTTCCCTCTTCCCAGCCTTTTTTTTTCTTCTTGTCTTTCTTCTCTTGCACTTTTCCAACAGAAAATGTTTCCCTCAGAGGGCAGTAAACAGGCTGGTACAGGATATTTATCAGTCGGTGGCTATTAGGAGGCATTACAGAATCCACTGCCATTTGTGCTCCAGGGAGGGGTAGAAAAGGCCAAGGGAAGGCCATGTGTGAGGGATCTGCCTTGATGGGAAGCTTTGAGAACTTCAGCATTTTGACCTTCAGGCTCTACCATGCCTGACAAAGAAACCGTGCCCAGATAATGACCATTGACAGTTCCTATTTGCTACTCAGGCCTAATTGGCAACAGGCTACCTTAGCCAGCTTTTCCCTGCTGTAACAAAATTCTTGCAGCTGGATATTACCAAGGAAATTTATTTTGCTTACAGTTGTGGAGGCTGCAAGTCCAAGGTCATACAGTCCCACTGATTCAGCCTTGCTGTTGGTCTTTTTGGTCTCGGGGCCACCTCTGAAGCCATATCCAAACCATACCCAAACCAAATCACAGGTCACCTTTCTTGTAACACAAATGTTCCAAGATAACCCCTTTGTCTCTACTTCCTTGCCATCTCCTGGACTGCTTGTCAGTTCATGTCTTAGCATCCTCAGCAGGGCTGGCCTGGAGTTGCAGTAGTCATACTGGACTACAAAGACTCAGATTAGAGTTCAGGGCTCTTTAGGTGGCCTAGATCAGACTGGATAGACATCCTGGAGAGAGGATTATAGCATACCCTGAACTTCTTTGAGAGACCATGTCTGATGATATGCTTCCATGATGTGCCACTGCCAGAGCTGAGGCAAGAAGAGAGAAGTTTCAGCACTCAGAGTACTGAGACAAGCTATTGCCTAAGGGTCAAGGTTGGAATTCATATGAATTCCCTGGAGTCTAATTTGGGTTTCTGGAAGATCTAGGTGAGCCAGAGGTAAGACAGCCCTGTGAAATCTGCAAACTACCCTTGAATCATGTCCCTGTCTAGATCCATTGTGGAGGAAGAATCATCATCTAGATTCTTTGACTTTTTTTAATTCACAATGTCTGAAATTTAAACCAAAACTGCTAAGTGTGCTGGGTAACAGCATCAAATTCCTAAGCCAGGTAAACATAGTAAAGATTGACCTACAGGTAGTGCAGATGTTGAAATAATCTGATGTATACTTAAATTATCTGTGATTAGTATGTGAAAGAAAATGGACCAAGTTGTAGACCTTCACCAGTGGAACTCAAAACACAGTGAGTACATGTCCTTGTGTGCCAGGTACATACTCTTCAGAAGTGATTCTGCAGGTGGAATGAAAGTGTCTTCAGGGAAACAAAGACTGAGAGAGTCTATGCAACAACAGAGCCATTACAGTGGAAAAAAAGAACATGATCTCAGATGGAAGCCCTGTCACAGAGAAGGACAAGGCATAAGAGACAGTGACTTGGGATAATGTTGATGCAGATCAGCAGGGCTTAAAATGTGGGCTATTAACAGCAGTGCAAGAGACAGAGTAGAAGGCACGTGTGTTGTAATGTTCTTGCCACATCAGAGATGTGGCTGGATGGACACTAATGCAGAGCATATTGTGATATGAGAGTGGAACTCAGTGAAGTAGGAAGCAGATGCAGAAAGACAGTCCTGCAAGAAAGTTGATGAAAACAGACTCTTTCAAGATGAGCCAAGATACAAAGAGAAATTGCTGGTATCAGGAATGAAAGTGGATCTATCAGTAAAGATTTGGTATAAATTTTTTTAAAAAGCAGTATAGAGTTATTATAGACAACTTTTATGCTGATATATTTAACAAAAAAAACAACTATAAAATTCTTTAGAAAACTATAACTCACTAAGGTGTAGAAGTCTGGAAAGTTCAACTTTTTTTTTAAAGAAATCAAACCTGTTAATTAATAATTATTCCTCAAAGAAAACTCCAGACCTACTTGGTTTAACTGACATTGTCTTCCAGGTACTTACAGGGTAAATAGCAACTGCTTACACAAATGATAACAGAATATATAGCGCAAGGAAACAGCCTGCTGTTCTTTTTCTAGCCAGCACTGCTGGACTTGAAATTTCCACAAGGCTGATATAAGCAGGAAATGACACATCAGTCTCTCATACACTTGAAAGCAGAAATCCTAACACCTAAAAAATAACAGATAAAAAGGATGATATAATGATAAAGTGAGCGACTCTAGGAATGCAAGGTTGGTTTGCATTTAGAAGCAGTCAGTGTGACTCACCCATTAATAGGGTACATGTGAAAAACTTTAACATTGGCCCAGCAGATATAGAAATGCATATGATAAAATTTAGCCCCACTCAGAGAGGCCAAAAAAGTCTTGGCAAACCAGAGATCAGTAAGATTACTCATGACCTGATCAAAAGTATCTTCAGATGCCTACACACAGTACCACAACTAGGGTGGGGACATTAAGGCTTCTCCTGGTACCTCAAACAGTCACAAGGTCTAATTCTTTCATCCCTACTAGCCCTAGCTCTAGAGTTGAGCTGTTGAGCACTTACAACAGCTCCTCATGCACACAAACTTTCTTATACAGTAGCTCTGCAGTGGCTGAAAAGTGATTTGTGTTGAACGCATGTAGTAGGAAACTCCACTACTGTTAAAAGAATGAACTATGGCTGTCAGAGTCTACCAGTGTTACCTTGGACAGAAAGGCTAATGCCAAGTAAGATACACTGTGTCCTTACAGTCCTACAGGTTTTAAGATCAAGCCAGATGGATGGGGACAGGGTGGTAATGGTGGGCTGGAAGAAGGCCTTCGGAATAGCCAGACCCATCTTGACTGGAAAGCGATCCTTTTGCATGCTCACAAATCAGACATTTAGACTCTGTGTGCTGAACTGTAGATATGCTATGTCTCAGTATCACTTTAATAAGGAGGGGGCGGTGGTCAGCAGTGCTTCTGAGAAAGGTTAGATTATTTCCAGGAATTTTGCTGACTATAAATGATGAGACCATGTCTGACTGTATTTAACAGAAGGCTGTGTGCCAGTTTAATGTTGCAGACTTAAGGCTGCTGAATGCAGGCTGAGCAATCCTGGCAGGAATGAGGGGTGCCCACTGCCATTTCCTCTCACCTGAGCCAAGCACTGGTATGGGGACAAACAGGCCAGCTTGTCTGGAGTTTGCTTGCTTGGCTATGGTTGGATATAAAATCCAGCTGGGTCCAGTATCAATCTCTAGGCCAGGCTTAGCCAGTGGGCAGTGCCTGGGTGACCTAACTGCCTATCATAGTACAGCTGTGCTATGTTCAACATTGGGGACAAATCATACTTTCTATATTCAGAGTCTTCAGATAGTACCACCATAAGCCAGGTCAGTCTCAATTTCCATCAGAACTCTCATCCATTGGCTGCCAGAGGCCTTTAGCATGCTTCTGCATCTTGGGCAAAGGGCAGTGTTGCCCTTGGCACTTGGGCCCAGTTCCCTTTCATTTACTATGGGGCTGGGAGGTAGCTACATCTGCTTCTTTCACAGCCTCCAAAACTCCATCAGCTTCTAATTAGTCATGTGTCATTTGGATAAATTCATGACCAACCCCTGGCTCCTTTCCCAAGAGAGTGGCTAACACCCTACAGCAGGATCAGGATGCATTCATTTTCCAGAACCTGAGCATGCTGCCCTGTATCTGTGCTGCCTTGCTCCCCCGAGATGGAAGGTAGGCAGAATTGCCACTAGTATCATGGTATGCAAATGGATGCTTAGGCGAGCTTTGTCTCTTCTCATGGGAAATCTGTGCAACCCCTTCCTAAGTGGACACATTAGGGCCTGTGTTTCTTCCTTCTCAGCATAGGGGCCAAGCCCTGGGCTGAGAGGAAGGAGAAAGCTGCCTTTGTTGGCTTCTGGAGCTGGAAAACCATCACAGCCTTAGCTTTGTGTCCAGCATTTTGTCAGCAAATCCCTAATCCCAGCTTCAGAGTTAAAGATCCAAATTGGGCTTTTGTGGGCAGTATAAAGGAGGACTTTGTCAGCTTTTCAGGAGGAGTGCTGGGAGGGATCATAGTTAAACCCTTTGTTTCTCCTGTCTTTTGTCATGCAATTCTGGGAAGGGTAGTGCCAATGTGGAGGTGAGGATGCTACAGGGACCTTCTCTGACTGTCCTGCTCCAAGATGTCCCTCCCTGCAGGAAGATCCTCCAGACAGCATGTCTTCCCTGTGTTGTCTGTATCCTGCAGCTGTACGTTGAATGGTGGCCGACACACTCTGCTCTTAGATTCTCCCATGGCTCTAGGAAATCTTGCCTAGCCTGTCTGATGAGTCCTTGTTGACTGGTCCATAGTGTTTGGTTGTAGAAATGAACTAGCCCTTCATCTGCTAACCTGCATTAGTTGTCAGAACAGTGCTGCCATCAGGGCACAGGGGCAGAGCTGCTCCAGGTAGCATCCCATCTCTGAAGTGCCAGACAGGCATCCCAGGCAGGGACTCAGAGTTAAGTAGGCAGTTGTTAGATGGGCTGTTTTAGGCCTACTGCCCCAGAGACTGCACTGTGGTGTCCCTGGGATGCACAGCTCTTGGGGGAAGCACCATCCTTCCTAGTCTTTGAGTAGAAGATTGGAAGTGCCATCTCTTGAT